TGATCAGATATCCAACGCCTCTATCATGAACACATCACCAAGCTCAGCGTACAGTTAAACCCCAGCAGCAGGTACACCATGCTTACATAGTACATAGTACGTAGTACGTGTATATAGTACATAGTACATAGTACCGAATAGTACATAGTACAGTACAGAGTACATAGTACATGCCTGCATCATTATAACGTTCTATATAGTACATAGTACATAGTACATAGCTCATACCTGCGTCGTTATAACGTTCTTCGACAGCAGCAACAATCATATTCCGCACCAATACAAACTCCTCGGATTCAAAGGAGTTTTTTTCTTCAGGACTGCATGAGCAAAAGAACAAAATCAATGATGTCATCTCAGGGCCCTTCAACCATAACGGACAGAAGTGTCACGCGAGTATGTCATTGATGTAAGGGACACTGGACCCTGGTTTCCAGCTTCGTTTACAATAAAGAAAGCAGGCATTTAGATATTATGATGACATTCAAAAAAAAGTTTTAAAACTTTTAAAAACTTTTTTTTTTTTTTTTTTTCAACAGGGCCTTATGGTCCTGGCTCCTTCTATTCTGGGGAGCGTCAGTCCGGTTCCTATTCCACCGGCAAGTCAAAAATATATACAACAACAATTACCGCACACACGCTTCCTTCCGTCTGGCCGAAGGACCCCTGAGCAGCATTGATTGCTCCACCCCGGGAGGATTGACTGCCAGCTTGCCTTGTCCCTTTCTTTCCTCTCAGATCCGGAATCCAGAACTGTCAGATAAAGCACTTGAGCCTAGAAAGAGCACGACTGCTACCCTTATCCACCTGCTTCTTCTCTTTTCAATCACTATTGCCCCCCTTCGAACAGTCAGCCGCTTGTCTTTGTAACCAACAGTTTCGGTCTGCAATGTTGTTGTCCGGTTGTCAGAATTGGGCCCTGGCAAGGAGCTCATTAGCTTCCGGCTCTCTGGGAAGGGACCCCCCTTATGTGACCCCATTTGTGTTTTCCTTGTTTCCTCGTCATCTGTGCCCCCTGGATTATGTTTATCCTCTTGCAGCCTAAGACGTGGTTAAGTCTTCCCTTGGTGACTGACGTTGGAAGTCCCTTTCTGGACTTGAATTATGCCATCTCTCCCAGCATACCCGGTCCTGTCGCAGTTCTCCAATCTTGCCATCAACCAGCCACGTTCTGTAAAAACTCTGTCTTTCCTTGTTCCGCTGCTCTTCGTCTTCCGTCCAGGCTCATTTGGTCCTCCACCATCTGCAAAGGATCTCCGCTTGAATCATTGCTTTAGTTTCTAACCACACCTTCTCCCGTGGATTGGAATGTCCTTCGATTGTTCGGCTGCATCTCTCCTTCCATATGACCCACAGGGTCACCTTCCTGATGAGTTCGAACCAGGACCTCTCAGCTTTCCGAGCCTGAACAGGGATGTTAGTCAAGAGGAGCAGCTGAATGGGTTGTTTGGGGAAGGGGGAAGAGAAGAGGGAGTTC